GGAGAGATAGTCTTTATATGTTGGCCTCTTTGGGAAGCTGGTGAAAAAGAGAGAAAAAGAGAAAAGAGAGAGAGAGAGAAAGGCTGTCTGTCTTTGTATGTTGGCCTCTTTGGGAAGCTGCTGATCTCCAGTGGAGCTCTCTTACCTGGGAAATGGGGATGCTCTCCTGATGACTTTTGGGCATCCTGACCACAGAGTGGAGGACCTGGAGGAAGGAAGGAAGGGAGAGAAATTAATCAGCAAATGGCAGCTTTAGAGAAGGAGATCAATCTCATAATATAGCAATCTCCCATTTCAGTTGAAGCTGGCTCCTATTATTTAAATAAAGGCTGCATAGCGATTTTAGGAATTCCCCTGTTGCTGTTTCGAAATACCGTGGTATCTTTTTTTTTGTATTAAATGGTTTATTGAAAAACAACAACAACAACAACAACAACAACAACAACAATTTATTTCTACCCCGCCCATCTGGCTGGGTTCCCCCATCCACTCTGGGAGGCTTCCAGTAACAACAATAACAACAACAAAATTTATTATTTCTACCCCACCCATCAGGCTGGGTTTCCTCAGCCCCTCTAGGGAAATTAAAGAAAAGCATAACAAACACGTGTATGAAAACCCCAAACAAAAATACCAAAGAATATCAATATTTTCTCAATAGGTTTTTGTTAAAATTCCTACGACCTCCTGCCACGCCACCATGTATTTCCTGATCTGATATACTACTCATCTCTATTTTCTTTCTTTTTCTTTTTTTAGATTGCTTTATCAAACTTAAAAAAAAACCACACGTCACAAAATCAAAGTTATCCATCATAAAAAATAGACAACAACAAAGCAATATCTCTATTTTCTTTTTAATAATCTTCACCAATGTTATATTCTCTTATATTTGCACATCCAAACGCAGGAGTCGTTCAAATGCTGCCACTGATGTCATCTTACTGCAATAATCCTCTATAGTGGTACCTCACAAGACGAATGCCTCGCAAGACGAAAAACGTGCAAGACGAAATAGTTTTCCGTTTTTTGAGTCATTCCGCAAGACGAATTTCCCTATGGGCTTGCTTCGCAAGACAAAACGTCTTGCGAGTTCTTGCGAGTTTGTTTCCTTTTTCTTAAAGCCGCTAAGCCATTAATAGCCGCTAAGCCGCTAAGCCGCTAATAGCCGCTAAGCCGCTAATAGCCGTGCTTCGCAAGACGAAGAAACCGCAAGACGAAGAGACTCGCGGAACGGATTAATTTCGTCTTGCGAGGCACCACTGTAGTTATTTTCTGTACATGTCCCATTTTTGAATAAATCTCAGTATTACGTCTCAGTTTTTCTGTCATTTTTGCAAACTCCAATGACTTACTTTGCCACTCTCATTTTGTTGGGATTTTATCTCCCTTCCAATTCGTTGCGATCAATATTCTTGCTGCTTCCGTCTCATACAAGAATATTCCTTTTTGCATTTTTCGGGTATGTCTGGGCCCAGAATCCCCAGGAGAAAATGGAAAACTGAATAAATATTATTATTATTATTTAAATCAAATCTATGAAAGCTGTGTCAAGCCCACCTCACAGTTTCTTAGCATCCTATAACCTTTTTAAAAATGCTGGCTCTTATGGGTTGTTGTTTTTTTTATTGGGTTGTTGGTTTCATTTTGATTTTATGTATTTGGTATTTTATGTGAACTGCCCTGAGACCTTCGAGTATCAGGCGGTATGGAAATTAAATTAATAATAATAATAATAATAATAATAATAATAATAATAATAATAATACTTGTCTATGATACGTGCTGATCGCCGAAGAATTGATGCTTTTGAATTATGGTGCTGGAGGAGACTCTTGAGAGTCCCATGGACTGCAAGAAGATCAAACCTATCCATTCTTAAGGAAATCAGTCCTGAGTGCTCCCTGGCAGGACAGATCGTGAAGTTGAGGCTCCAATACTTTGGCCACCTCATGAGAAGAGAAGACTCCCTGGAAAAGACCATGTTGTTGGGAAAGGAGAAGGGGACGACAGAGGACAAGATGGTTGGACAGTGTTCTCGAAGCTACAAACATGAGCCTGACCAAACTGCGGGAGGCGGTGGAAGACAGGAGTGCTTGGCGTGCTCTGGTCCATGGGGTCATGAAGAGTCGGACACGACTAAACAACAACAACATGATATGTGCTAGAACAAAGCAATGATCCTAAATAATAATACAATAATAATAATAATAATAATAATAATAATAATTGGCAAAGTTAACAGAGAAACTGCCCTGATCAAACCTTTATTAGAAAATGGGGCATGTATAAAAAATATCACATGGATTATTGTAGTGATATGGTGTCTGTGGCGCCCGCCATGTTGCCTCGCTGGAAGTCCCCGTATGATGTGTCTTGTGCCATTGAACCAATCATGCAAGATTGATTCCCTACTCATAGATCTAGAACACTGAAAATAGAAATCCGGGGACATGATACAAAATCCAAGGATGGATCTTGTCCGGGGACAGATTTGTAAACCCGGGTACTGTCCCCGGGGACGTCTGACCCCCGAAACGGGGGATTAGGCCCCCGAAACAGACTTTGGACATAAGAGGTGTTGAGAAAGGCATCCGATATTGAACTTGTGTGGCCTCCCCATTTATGACGTGCTAGTGACGTCGTTACCCCCGAGGATGTGGACAGGCTGCTTGGACGCGTGAAACCAACCACCTGTCTCCTTGATCCTTGCCCATCCTGGCTAATAAAAGCAAGCCAGGAAGCGCTGGGCTCTGGGCTCTGCGGGGTGGTGAATGCTTCCCTCTGTGAGGGAACATTCCCAGATCCGCTGAAAGAGGCGGTCATTAAACCGCTTCTTAAAAAACCATCTTTAGACCCGGCCAGTATGGCCAACTATCGCCCAGTCTCAAATCTTCCATTCTTGGGCAAGGTGATTGAGCGCGTGGTTGCTGAACAACTCCAGGCACGCCTGGAGGATGCGGACCATTTGGATCCCTTCCAATCGGGATTCAGGCCTCACCATGGGACTGAAACTGCCTTGGTCACGCTGGTTGATGATCTCCGGCGAGCTAGGGACAAAGGTGAGAGTTGTTTCCTGGTTCTGCTGGATCTCTCAGCGGCCTTTGATACAATCGACCATAACATCCTTCTGGACCGTCTAGAGGGGCTGGGAGCTGGGGGCACTGTTATACAGTGGTTTCGCTCCTTCCTCCTGGGCCGTGTTCAGAAAGTGGTGGTGGGGGATGAGTGTTCAGACCCCTGGGCCCTCACTTGTGGGGTGCCTCAGGGTTCTGTTCTCTCCCCCATGCTTTTTAACATCTATATGAAGCCGCTGGGAGAGATCATCAGGGGGTTTGGACTGGGTGTCCATCAATATGCAGATGATACCCAGCTCTACCTCTCTTTCAAATCAGAACCAGTGAAGGCGGTGAAGGTCCTGTGTGAGTGCCTGGAGGCGGTTGGAGGATGGATGGCGGCTAATGGATTGAAGTTGAATCCTGACAAGACAGAAGTATTGTTTTTGGGGGACGGGGGCGGGCTGGTGTGGAGGACTCCCTGGTCCTGAATAGGGTAACTGTGCCCCTGAAGGACCAGGTGTGCAGCCTGGGAGTCATTTTGGACTCACAGCTGTCCATGGAGGCGCAGGTCAATTCTGTATCCAGGGCAGCTGTCTACCAACTCCACCTGGTACGCAGGCTGAGACCCTACCTGCCCGCGGACTGTCTCACCAGAGTGGTGCATGCTCTAGTTATCTCCCGCTTGGACTACTGCAATGCGCTCTATGTGGGGCTACCTTTGAAGGTGACTCGGAAACTACAACTAATCCAGAATGCGGCAGCTAGACTGGTGACTGGGAGCGGCCGCCGAGACCACATAACACCGGTCTTGAAAGACCTACATTGGCTCCCAGTACGTTTCCGAGCACAATTCAAAGTGCTGGTGTTGACCTTTAAAGCCCTAAACGGCCTCGGCCCAGTATACCTGAAGGAGCGTCTCCACCCCCATTGTTCTGCCCGGACACTGAGGTCCAGCGCCGAGGGCCTTCTGGCGGTTCCCTCATTGCGAGAAGCAAAGCTACAGGGAGCCAGGCAGAGGGCCTTCTCGGTAGTGACGCCCGCCCTGTGGAACGCCCTCCCATCAGATGTCAAAGCGATAAATAACTACCTGACATTTAGAAGACATCTTAAGGCAGCCCTTAAGTTTTTAATCTGTGATATTTTACTGTATTTTTGGTTTCTATGGAAGCCGCCCAGAGTGGCTGGGGAAACCCAGCCAGATGGGCGGGGTACAAATAATAAATTATTATTATTATTATTATTATTATTATTATTATCAACAATGCTGTGTGAAGTGTATTCTGGGGGAAAGAGGGAAGTTTTGAAAGAGGACATCACCCCATGCTCGGGGCTCTTACTCCTGGGGAGACTTGTGGCACAACAAAAAAGAGCGTGGTCTACTGACCGCTGTTTTGCTCCAAATTACCGGGCTGGGCCTTCCTTCTTTTACTGACTGCATGGACCCACGGGGGACGGAGGTGGGTAATCCCTGCTCGCCCTACCCTTGTCCCTTGGGATGGGGCGTAGATTGGAATAACTTCTCACAACGGAAGTGGCAGACAGACATGTGTAAGCATTATTTACAGGCGTTTATTCAGCATAGTTTAGGAACAAAGGAAAAACATGTCTGCTTCCCTTCGTGTCCAAGCAAACAGCAATATAGCAAAAGCAATATACAAACGGAAGTTCCCAGCATACTGTGCTGGAAGTAAACAGGCATGTGACATACAACAGTCATGCCTGTTCCTTTTAAGGTGGAATGGAACTATATCCCAACAGACATATGCGTCTGTGGTGGGTGCATGGTGCTTCCCCAGAGGAGGAAGGGAGAGCTGATAAAAGACGGAGCATCCCTTTGCTCAGGGTGTGAGTCCTGTGGCAACCGTCTTTCGATTCCAGACCTCCGTTTTGCTCCTATATTCCCGGCCGGCGTCTCAGTTTGGCGATCTGAGGGAATTCCCCTCAGCAAAACGGATACATTGTCATCCACCCCACGTCACAGCGGCTCTCATTCAGTGCCTTGCTGAAGACCTTCCTGGCCAGCGCCGTCTTGCCGCAGACTGTGATCCTCGCCAAATAGTGAAATTTGGCGCCCGTCTGGCTGTCCCGGCCCAGGGTATAGAAGCCCCCGTAGGTGATGGTGATGAAGCCGGGTATCCGTGTGCTTTGTCCGCCAGACAAGCTTCCCGGGGGGTTGGCCCCAGGGAAAAGATCCTTGGAGTCGCTTTGGCCCTCCTTGTCCGAGTCCTGCCGGCCAGTTTCGGGCGCCAATGTCCGGGCCAGCTCCGGGAGTTGGAAGTACTCGGCTTTCAGCTCCATGATCTCCGGGAAGGCCAAGCCGAGTTGGGCACAGCCGCCTCCGGGGTCTGCCAAGGCCATCTCCTACCCGCCTGAAAAAGAACCAGCCAAAGAAGAGGAGTTACAATGGCCGGACGCTGCGACCCAGAGGCTGTTTGAATGAACAAATGAATATTTGCGTCAGCCGTCAGCCAGTGCTGGATTTACGTATAAGCTCAGTAAGCCATATCTTAGGTCCCCACTCTCTTGGGGCCCCCCCAAAAAATTAAAGGAAAAACAACAACTGGATGCACATTTCCAAAATATAAGATAAAAAAACAAATAAAAGTATTGTAATTTAGATCATGTTTGTGTACTGTTTGTGTACACAGTATAGAATGAATCACGATAAAATTGGGGGGCCACCAGGTGGCGCATTGGAAGATGGCCGACAATAACATCTCTCTGACCCATACAAGGTAATTAAGAGGCTGCTATGGGAAGTATGCAGTCTTCCTACCCCCCCCCCCCAGGAGATGGGGGGGCTGCCTTGCCAGCGGTGTCCCCAATGCACCCCCGGATTCGAGAGACGGGGGTGCCGGTCACTTGGCACGAGCCCTCGATGAGGTCAGCTCTTCCTGACGCCGATTCCAATTAGCGCGTGCTGGTTCACTTTAGCTCGGAATTATAATTGGAAACATAATTGGAAACATATGATTTGAATGAAGCTAAAGCACATACAGCAAGCAACGCTCGGGAGATAAGACTGCTGACTAATGGATCTCTGTGACCAGGAGTGACAGATGGATAAGTAAATCATCTGACGAACCACCATTAAGAGACTGTATGTTTGGAATGAAGGGGGGGTGGAGGAAAAAACTTTTCTTTTCTTTGCACTATGTGATATTAAGAACCCTCCACCCCAGAAAGAAGTAAGATCGTTGCGTTTTACTAACCACAAGCAGGAATTCAAGAATTGTGTGGAGTGGATTATAGTTAAGGAGATGATTGGTAAACAATGAGAACGGAGGAAAATTTTATGACGCAGTTTAAAATGGTGTCTTGTTAAGACAGGCTTGCCTGAGAAAGAAAGACAGGGGGAGGAGAATCAGGACCATTGGAATGAGAAGGATGGTTGGAATGTGATCTTAACCTGACAGAGCCCTCCTGATATACTTGGCAAGTCTGCGAAAATTAAAGGACAGACCGAAGACTAATTTTTAATGGAAGCGTGGAATAGTGGCTGTCCCTGAGCGATATGATCTTTGGAGAGTACAAAACCCACACAGAGGATGCCTGTCTCTAATCTGCTTGTGAAGATAATCAGAGATCGCAAAGAAAGGGATATACGATAGCAACAAGAAGATGAAGAAAGTAATAAAGGACTATCTGGATTGAACTGGATAGAATTGTTTAATTAAAGCAGCAATATAAGTGATGTTTGGACTCGTTCGGAGCTTGATGTATGGGTACCCCCAACAAAATTTAAAATTTGGCTGTATAATTTGGAATTAATGTGATTTGGATAATGTGATGTGATTGGCCTGTTAATAAAAATTATTAAAATAAAAAAAAAGAATCACAATAAAATTATACAGTTGAATGGGTATTGGATAGACACATTAATATAATTAGTCCTGTTGAATAATTTTTTGATGGACAGGCATGTATAGTATTGGCATTATTTATGAATGGGACATATTACTAGAAAAACTGTCTTTTACACTCACCAAGTGTCACAGGCCACAAAGGTCTGCTGTCCCAATGGACTACTATGGTGAGATTGATATTATATTAAAAAATGCCATCAAACCTCCCTCTGCTTGTCAATATTAGGAGGATGCCAGCAAGGCCGAACCTTTCTGTAAAAAGGATTTTACTATATTTTTTATTTTATTATATTTTTTATTTTATTATTCCAGCTCCAAGGACCTTCTGGTGGTTCCCTCCCTGCGAGAAGCAAAGTTACAGGGAACCAGGCAGAGGGCCTTCTCGGTAGTGGCACCTGCCCTGTGGAACACCCTCCCACCAGATGTCAAAGGATAAAACAACTACCAGACTTTTAGGAGACATCTGAAGGCAGCCCTGTTTAGAGAAGCTTTTGATATCTGAAGGACTACTGTATTTTAATATTTTGTTGGAAGCTGCCCAGAGTGGCTGGGGAAACCCAGCCAGATGGGCGGGGTATAAATAATAAATTATTAAATTATTATTATTCCAAATAGGAAACTGCCTTGTATTAACTACAATTGCATTGTACAGGTTATAACACTTAATTCCATATTAATAAAGATAATTTATAATTATTAGTCGTTGGCATCATAGATCATCTATTAGAGAGCTTGAACCATGGAAGGATGGAGTATCAGACAAAGAGAAAGGGAGGACAGGTCTAAGAAAAAGAGGAGGATAGGCTCTGCCTCGCCCATGAAACTGCCCTGTAATATTCTGAGCTCAGTAAGGCAAAGTTGCAATGGCAACATTCCTGATATTTGCTTTTGCACAACAACAAATTATTATTTTTTAACTGATGTTTCCTAAGAACTTTATGCACTTGGCTAAGACTTAACAACTCGCCGGTTGGACTACTTTCCCTGATGCTTCTTGACAAATTCCAATCTAGCTGGTTGAAGGGCATTCTCAGAAAACTGGCCACATATGGTCTCTCCCCAGAGTATTTATTAAGTTTAGAAAGGGAAGGGCCAAGAACATAATCAAAGAAAGACTCGGGGACATTGAAACCCAAAATGACTTTAACCAACTTCCGATAACCTATAAACTTCTATACAATTCCCAAAGGCCCCATCTAGCAAACTATCTCAAAGTTCTAGACAACGCTAAACACCGATGGGCATTTTCCAGGGCCCGCTTTAACGCTCTCCCTTCAGCTCTTCTAGAGGGAAGATACAATAAAACACCGATCGAACAAAGATTATGCCCCTGTAACAGCAATGAAATCGAAACCATTGGGCATGTCATCTTATACTGCCCATTATATCGAGACTCAAGAAAATAGCTGATCGAACCGATTCTGAGGAAAATACCCCGTAGTACAGACGACACCTATATCAGACACCTCCTAGCTGACAAAGAGCCCGAAATTAACAGGTCCGTGGCAAAGTACTGTTACATTGCAACAAGAATAAGACGAGCAATGATGTCTACAAAGGAGTTCAAACTGTAAACATCGAAGGAATGATAATAAACAGTAGCGACTCCTGAATCGAATTTTTAAAACTTAAAACTCGAAACCTGGTCATAAATATAAGCACCAATTCTGTGAATTGGCCATATTTTTTTACTGTTACTTGTAGCACAATACTACTCTTAATGTCATATTTTATAAATTGCTTCCTGGTCATTGACCGTATTAAAGATATTTGATTTTGATAACTGATGTTTCCTTTTGTTAGCTGCTTTGGTCTTTCCTTGGGAAGGTAAAACTGGTTATTAATCAGCAAGTGAAATTTGGGAAGTAAATGAAGAACCAGGATTGTTGTCTCAGCCCTTCCAATTGTACCCATGTACAAAGTCAGCTGAAGATGATCCCTGTCAATCCATGTGGCCAACACAGACCAAGGTGGCATTGCTGAATTCAGCCTAGTAACGATAATTTTAAAAATATTGGACTTGCACATAGCTACCAGCATGAAGTGAAGGCACAAGACAGGGGTTGATCATCAGGTGAGCTGCGCACAGGTGAGCTGCATGCAAGCTGCCGGCCAGCCCTGTGGAGCCTCCTTTTATTGAGACAAATATGCAAACCAGGCAAATACATTTTGGGCTGTGACCTTTACACATCTTCGGGTCCCAAGATCGTGGGGTGGTACAAAGTTATTTTGGCACCTGTTTCCACCACGTCATTTTCCCCTTGCACAGTGTATGACGAAGGAGACAAGAGGTCTCAGGGACAAAGGTTACAGACAGGACACCGCAGACTACTGAGACCGCAAAAGGTTAGACAGAGGAAACGATGTTCAGACAGCTGTGGCTTGTCTGGGGGGGGGAAAGTGTGCTCCCTCCAGACCCCACTCCCCACTCCGCGATCATCCCTACACCAGCAGTCCACATGATTGGCTTTCTGAGCTGAATGTACTGGGAAAGGCAACCAGTATCTCTTGTTCCCTAGAATGTTACAGCTTCAGGAGCATGGAAAGCAGCATTCAAGGGAGGCGCCATCTGCATTGTATGTTTAAAGCAGTACCATACCACTTTAAACACTCATGGCTTCCCCCCAAGCATCCTCGGAGCTGCAATTTATTAAAGGTTGTGAGACTTGTTAGGAGACCCCCCCCCATTCTTCGCACAGAGCTGCCATTCCCAGAGTACACCAGGTAGAGGGAACTGTTAAACCACTCTGGGAATGGTAGCTTTGTGAGGGGAATAGGGGGCCTCCTAAAAAGTCTCACCACCTTAACAAACGGCAGTTCACAGAAACTTTTGGGGGAGCCCTTGTCGGAATCTCCACTTGGCCAAGCTGATAAAGCTCTATTTTCCGTCCTAGTCTCCGGAATAGCCTCCGAGGAATAATTAACGACCTCGAGCCTTTGATGAGGCTCCAAGGCACGTTTCCATCCATTCAGCAGAGTTCCCAGCACAGGGAAGAGATGAGAGGTTTGGGCTACATTGTAAAGAGTTTTATTTCTAAGCTACGCAGTCAGAAAAGACATCCTCTCTCTATGAAAGCAGAGAGAAACAGAACAAAGGAAACAGGAAACCACTAACGTCACATCCCGTCTCCCCTCCCGTGAGACTTCCAATAGCCTGGAATCCCTGGAATGTAAACAGAGTCCTGTGACTCTAAGCAGCTGCTCAGTGATAAGAACAGAAACTAACATCCTCCCCCTTTCTGTGAACACCACTGGGCAGTGTGTCAGTACAATCTCAGTACAAACCCAATTTCTGTACATAGGTACAGTGTTGATCCTTCGGAACAACCTTGGACAATAAATCAGCAGGAATTTCATTTCCTGGCATGTAAGACACCGTTACGAGTCCTTTCTGAACACATTCTCTAGCATGTTGCAGCTTCAATTGCAAGTGCTTCGTGCTTTGCTTACAACCTTTAGAAGTCAGCAAGGCCAAACATGCTTTGTTGTCCT